GGCGCGGGCTGCCCCCTTCTCCCCCCGGAGACGCCGAGGGGGGCAGCCCCCCAGCCGTGGGGCCGCGGTGCCCCCCGCGCGGCCGCCGCTTGACGTCTTCCGCTGCCTCGCTCTGGTGCTCGGGGCCGGGGCCCCTCCGCGCCGCCCCACGGCGGCCTCGGCCCCACTCTGTGCCTCAGTTTCCCTGGGGGGGCGGCCGGGGCCCCCTCCCCACGCGCAGGGCCGCCCCGAGCCCCGGCCGTGGGGCCGTGCGGGGGACGTGTGGGGCAGCCGTGGGGCAGGGCCGGGGGCACCAGGGACTTTTGTACATTTGAATGTCTGACCCTTTTTTTGAGCGTCCGTTGAATGCAGCATTCGGTCGCCGAGACCGGCCGTTTTGTATTTAATAAAAGTTTCAAAGGTTGGCGCGAGGGCTCCCGCGGGGCCGCGCCGCGCGCTGCAGCCCCCACGGCACCGCGGGGCTGGGACACGCGTGGTGCTGCCCACGATGGTCTCCATAGGGTTCCTATAGGTGCGCCCCGTCAGGGTGCCCTGTGGCTCCCTGCAGCTGCGGCCCCTTTAAGGAGCGGGGCGGGGCGTCGCCATGGCGACCGGGAGTTGACGGCGGGCGGGGGCGCTGCGGTGCGGGCTGTGGGGCGGGGTGTGGGGCAGAGGTGCGGGGTGCACTGCGGGACGTGGGGCAGGGGTGCGGGGTGTGGGGCAGGGTGGGGGTTGATTGCATTGTAGGGGTGGGGGATGTGGGGTGCAGTGCGGGAGGTGAGGAGGGGTGGGGGCTGCGGGGTGCAGTATGGGGCAGGCGGTGGGGGAGCAATGTGGGGCAGGCTGAGGGGTAGCGGCAGGGTGAGGGGCGCAGCTGGGACCCCATGGGGCAGGATGGCTGGAGTCGCAGCTCGTGGGGCAAGGGGGCCACGGGCGCGCAGGGGGTGCAGCCGGAGCGGGGCCGGCCCAGCCCCACGCTGCCCTGACCCCTGTGTGCCCCACAGCCGTGGGGCGGGGGGCGCCCCATGGCGCTGTGGGGGCTGCTGGAGGCGCGGGTGCCCCCCGGGGAGCGCCCGGCCCTGCGGCGCCTGCTGGGGGAGGAGGCCGTGGAGCGCAGCCTGGAGCTGCACAGCGAGGTGCGCGCCGCGCGATGCCACCGGCACCGCCGTGCACCCCTTGTGCCGCCACCACTGCCGCCGTGCACCCTCGGGTTGCTGCTGCCGCCGCCACGCACCCTCGTGCCGCGCAGGTGGCCGTGCTGCGGGAGCTGCTGCAGGAGCAGCGGCGGGAGCAGCGGCGGGAGCAGCACCGGGACGCGCTGCTGGCGGCGCCGCCGCGGCTGCGGGAGCTGGTGAGGGCCGAGATCCGGCTGCTGCTGCGCGGCCTGCGGCGCTGCGAGGGCAGGTAGGGGCACGGGCGCCGTGGGGCGGCCCCTGAGCTGCGCCCCACGGGCAAGCGGGCCCGTGGCGCTGGCACCGCCTGCCCTGCCTCCCCTGTGGGGTCCTCCCCGTCCACCCCCTTCCCTGGGGGCACTGGTGGGTGCAGGTGGGACAGGGAGCCCCTGGACACCCTCGGGGAGCCCCTGGGTGCAGCCCCTGGGTGCAGCCCCTGGCTGCTCCACGGAACGGGGTCTCTCCGGCCTCTTGTCCCGCTGGGCTGCTGAGCGTCACCCCGGGGCGGTGGAGGCCCCTTAGACCCCCAAGCACGAGGGCCGTGACACCCGCTGTGGGTGGCAGCAGGGTCCTTGCCCTGGTCGGGGCAGGGACCTCAGGCCGCTCGCCTGCAGCGATGGGGAGGAGGCCGTGGGCCGSTACAGCCCCCACGTGGTCGGCTTCGCCATGGGGCAGGCGGCAGGAGCGAGGCCGGACGCCCCTCGGCCGGACAGCGCTGCTCCCAGGTGGGTCCCCACGCGGCTCCGCAGCCCTGGGGGGCACCCCTGGGCCCTGGCCGCCCTGCTGCGCCGTGCCGCGCTCCGTGCCGGCTCCACACCGACGTGCCCTCCGCAGCCCGGCCGCGGCGCTGGCGCGGCGCCTCGACTCCTTCGGCGAGGAGCTGAACGTCGCCCGCCTGCCCCACGTGCTGCCCCAGCTGCGGTGAGCGAGTGCCGGGCGCGCCCTGGCCCCCCAGCCCTGCGGCCCCAGTCCGTCCCCAGCACCCCGGCCCGACCCCAGCACCCCAGGTCCGTCCCCAGCACCCCGGCCCGGCCCCAGCACCCCGGGGCCCGAGGCTGCTCCCACGTTGTGTGATGAGCGGGTCAGGCGGCTGCACGGGCTGCTGTCCGGGACGGGATAGCGGCGTCTCCTCCATAGGGCAGCTGCTCTGAGCCTTGTGCCCCCCAAGGCGTCGCTGCACCCCAGAAAAGCTCCATGACCCCCTCCCACCCGCCGGGCAGCGCCTTTTCCCGGGCCTCCTGCTGAGCCAGAGGGGCGTGTGCCTGGRGGCAGAGCCCTTGTCCGCAGCGGATCCGCATTGCTGTCCTGTGTGCCGCAGGTCCCTGCTGGCCGAGGAGTGCCGTGGCCTGGAGAGCCTCATCGCCCGCCTCCAGGTGAGGCCGAGCGCCCAACCTTTGCCTCGCGCCCGCCCCTGAGGCGGCTGCGCCCCCCGTTAGCAACCCCAGCCTTGTGTCCCTGGTGTGGGAGTGTTGGGATCTCCCCGGGCTCCCACCCTGCCTGGGACACCCCTGTTCCGACCCTGCGTGTCCGCAGCGCTGCCTGGAAGAGGAGCACTGCGCTGCCGTGGGGCCGCGCGCGCCCGAGCCCACGCTGGCAGGTAAGGGCACGAGCCCCCGCCTAAGCCCGGCCTTGCGCTCAGTCCTGCACGGGGCACCTGCACTGTGCCAGCCTCGACGCTCCCCATCACCATGATCCTTGCTGCTCGTGTGCTCCGTGCAGAGCTGCGAGGCCAGCGCCGAGCCATGGAGCGGGACTGGCAGCGGGGCGGCCGGGCCGCACGCGGCGGCCTCTCCGCRCAGGGGAAGAGCCCTGAGCAGCCGCGCGGGTAGGACGGAGCAGAGCGCAGCACGTGGGCTGGGCACYGCGCTCCGCCCCGGCGCCGGCGCCGGGAGTGCAGCGCCCCGTCCCGCTGCCCTCTGCTCTCTCTGCAGACCCCCGTGGGGCTCGGGCAGCCCCTCGGGAGCCGCAGCAGGACCCAGCGCCCCGGCCCCATTGAGACCCCGCGCACTGTCCCCGTTGAGACCCCGCACACCGGCCCCGATGGCACCAGCAGAGGAGCCGGGTCCTGGCGCGCAGGGCCGACCTGCCCCCCGGCACGACCTGTCCGTGCTGCCCCCCCGGACCCCTTGCTGGCCTCCCACGCGCCCCGGGGCTGTGGGGCACGGGCCCCCCTTCCTGCCCTCGCCGCCCTCGGTGCTGCCCCCCGCTCGCCCTGCGCTGGGCCGGCACCGGCGGCTCCTGCCCTGCCAGGGGCTCGGCTAGGGCGGGAGGCGCAGCGGGCGCGTGGGGAGAGGCCAGCTGCCCCATGGCTGCCCCCTGCACCCCGGCAAGATGAGCCCCTCTGTCCCCCATGCGCTGGCTTAGCCCCGGGATGGATTTTGTCCCTCTGAACAGGGCCATGGATGGGGAACAAGGGCAGGAACCCGGGCTCCTTGATGTCAGCGCTGGGCATCCAAAGGGGAAAGTGTATCCGGGGGGAAATAGGACCTCCAATGTCCCCCTTGAACCCACCCCCAGCTCCCCAGAAAAAGGGCACGCCGGGACACGGGCTCAGGAATATAAATCTCATTAAATTCTAGGATACTTTAGAACTCTACACCGGGAGAGACACTGGCACGGGCAGCGCTACCCAGGGACGCGCGCGTTATTGCTAACAATTAGAGGTGAACAGTAGCGTCGTGACACACGGGGCAGGGCACGGGCACCATGCGGGAAACGGCGCCTCCCCACGGCRTCGCACGGGGGGCTCGGGACGGGGCCACGGGAGCTGGAACGTCCTGCTGGGGCTCAGCGCCCTGCCACCCGCTGCCCCTGGAGCCGGGTGCTTTCCGGGTCCCCTCCGAGCCACGCTGTGTCCCTGCAGGAGCCATGGGGCTCCGGACCCTGGCAGGGGAGCGTGGTGCTGGCTGGGAGGGGACAAGTCAGTGGCCAGGGTCCCGTCCACCCCAAGACAAGAGCTAGAGCCGAGAGGCTGTAGCTGGAAGACGGATTTGAGGGCGTGTGGCCTTGCCCAGTGCATCCCGCTCCACTAATACTGGTTGGAGTCCACGTGTGCCCGGATGGCTCGGAGGGAGCGGGCTGGCGCAGCCCCTCCACGTCTCCTCTGGCACTTCTCGCTAGCAGCAGCCGYGGGGGCCAGTCCATCCTGCTCCCCCTTAGCACCATGGAAGGCCCCCCTGGCCGTGCCGATGCTGTCGGGGAGAGCCGGGCCCTGTCCTTACCCTGTCACCTCCGGCCTGCCGCGCTCCCCGCCGCGGCGCAGGGAGCAGCACGGAGCCCACGCCGCCTCCCGCTGCGCCCCGCGGTGCCGCTGCTGCCTGGCCACCCATGGGGGCACCCACAGCCGCCCACCCTGCAGGGCCGGGGCTCGTGGAGGGTACAGTGCTTTACGTGTGGGGGTCCGGGGCATCCTGCGCGTGGGGCACGCGCGCAGCGCGCCCGGGTACCGTGTGTGTGTGTGCRTGCACACGCGTGCAGTGCATGTGTCCGTCCCGTGTGCGTGGCGTGTCCGTGGGGCACGCGCGCACGGACACCGCGCGTGCGCCTAAGTGCTCGTCTCTTGTGCTGTGAGGTCCTGGCGCGGGCAGGGGCCACAGTGCTCGCCCCATCCCCGTCCCCGCCGTGCCAGCCCCGCGCGCGGCCACCCACGGCACCGGGCTCGGAGCCACCCSGGGGGTACGTGGGGCAGGATCCGTGTAGTGCCCACCCTCCCCACAACCACCCTGCGCACACACAGCCCGGGCAGGACCGCAGCCCGAGGTCCGGATCAGACCCGGCGCCCGCTCCGCCTGCGCCACGAGGGTGCCGGGTTCCCGCGGGACGGGAGCCGGACGCCGCTCCCGCGCCGCCCCGCGCCCCCACTCTGGCTGCTGGCCCTCCCGGGGCTGGGCCCCCTCCTCTCTCGTCCCAGCGTCACATCCAATGGTTACCGTAAACACGAGGGTTAACAAACGCCACGGGGGGGGTTAACCGGAGAGGAGGTCGGGGGTGTCGGGGACGGGCGCTGAGAGCCCCCCGCGGTCCGGTGCGGCCCGGAGCCAGGCTCCGCCAGCGGAAGGTGCTAACGTGTCACCGCGCGGGAGGGGTTAGAGGGGGTGCGGGGACGCAGGGGGTCACAGTCTGGAGTCCTGGCTGTGGGCTGAGCCGTTGCTGCCCTGCAGGGGCGGCGCGGCCGCGGCCTCGCTCCGCGCCTTCTCYGGGTGCAGGGGCTGCACCTCCACGGGGCACTCGCTGGAGGGGCTGAAGGCGGCGGCGTAGCGCCCGCTGCGGTGCTCYGCCAGCGCCGGGCCCCAGTCCTTGCTTGCCTTGGTGGCGTTTTTCAAACGCTGCGGAGAGGGAGATGGGGAGGAGGGCASGGTTAGACCCACCGTGCCCCGCTGCCCGGCCCTCCGCCCGTGCCAGCAGCACCCAGGGGTGCCCCGCGATGGGCTGCCCCACGGAGGCTGCCTCCACACAGCCCTGGTGGGGTGCGGAGAGCCTTGTCGGGATGCCGGGATGGGACACGGCTGGCCCACCTGGAGCAGCGTGTCTCCCTCGGAGCGGCACACTTTGTAGATGGCGTAGATGGGGATGCAGATCACGGAGGAGAGCGCCATGAGGAAACCGATGCTGATGGCCCAGGTCGGGTAGACGTAGTCGTTGTAGGAGATGGGCCGGTACTGGATCACTGTGAAGACCAGGATGAACTGGGGAGGGACAGGCGGGATCAGCCACCGGGGAGCAGCCCACACCCCCACCCCGCTGACCTCCCCGCTCTGCCCCATCCCGGGCCCCGCGCCCCCACCCCAGGGTAGTGGCCGTGGGGACGGCTGGGTGGGCTCCCTGCCCCACATCCCGTGGGTCTGGGCCCCACRGGCCCGATGCTCACAAAGATGATGGCGGGCGAGATGAAGCGCCAGCAGATCTGGAAGAAGATCGGGGGTGGGAAGCCCAGCATCATCTCAATGTCCTTGAAGTAGTTGCGGTGCCCTGTAGGGAAGGCGGTGGCCATCAGCCCAGCTGTGCTGGGGAGACCCCTGTCCCCGGGTACCCCCGGGCACCTCCGGGCAGGGGGACGCACCAGGTTCCCCAACCCGGGCTGACCCCCCTGGCTGCTGACAGGCCAGAGGTTGGCAGCCATCCCTTCCCGACCTTGTGCACGGGACACCTACCATAGATGTACATGATGGCCACGCACATGATGCAGGAGATGACGACCAGGGAGAAGCTGGCGGCGTAGTTGTCCATCAGCAGGAGCCAGTAGATCCCTGCCTGTGGGAGCGAGCTGTTGGCAGGGCTGCCCCGGCCCGTCACCCGGCACCGTGACCGGTACCAGCGCCAGGGTGGCCACCACCCCCTGGGCAGCACGCCGGCATCCAAGGGGAGGGATAGGGGAGACACACGGGCACCACAACAARCTCCGTCGGGGCAACACCTAGCCTGGATACCACTGCTGTAGTTGGCATAGCAACGCCGGCTCCAGGTACCGCCACGGCAGGCTGCCATGGCAACGAGGTGGCCCTGCTGGGAGCCGGCATTGCGACACAGCCCCGCTGCTGTTGCCACGGCAACGGCAGGTCCCCTGCAGCCTGTTGCCGGCAGCAGCTGGCTGTCCTCGTCCCGGCTCCCTACCTGCGTGGTGAGAGGGACGCCCAGCAGGAAACCCGCCACGGCCACGCCRAGCGTCACAAAAGTCTTCCTGCGGATGATCCACTCGTTGCCCACCTCGTCCACGATGGCCGTGACCAGYGTCTCCAGCAGGCAGAACTGCACAACGGGATGGAGAGGGCAGTGCATGAGCCCGGCGCTGCCCCATGGTCCCATCAAGCCATCAACCCCACCACRCGCCCCACTGCCCTGGTCCTACCTGAGTGCCCAAGCCCAGGAGGATGAGCATGAAGAAGAAGAGGATAGACCAAAGGGGCGAGATGGGGAGCAGGGTGAGGGCCTCRGGGTATGCCACAAAGGCCAAGCCGGGGCCATGGTCGGCCACTTTGGAGACATCCACACCCAGGTGGTTGGCCATGAAGCCAAGGATGGAGAAGATGACGAAGCCGGCATAGACGCTGGTGGCGCAGTTGGTGATGCTGATGATGATGCTGTCCCTGYGGGCAGAGCGGAGGGTCAGCCCAGTGCCAGGCACGCGGGGCGGGAGCACAGCGCTGCGGCGGCAGCAGGACACTCACCGGTAACAGTTGTTGTGGAACTTGTTGTAGGAGGCCATGGTGATGAGCCCGCCCCAGGCACAGCCCAAGGAGTAGAAGATCTGCGAGGCCGCGTCGCCCCACACCTGCAGCGTGGCCGGGTCAGCGCGGCCCTGCCTGCCCCGGCCCGTCCTCCCGCCCGCCACGCACCTTGGCATCCAGGATGCGGTCCCACTGCGGCGTCAGGTAGTAGGTGATGCCGGTGACGGCACCCTCCAGCGTGATGCCGCGCACGAAGAGGATGGTGAGCACCACGTAGGGGAAGGTGGCGGTGAAGTACACCACCTGCGCGGTGAAACAGCCCACGTCAGCGCCCGCCCCGCGGCCACCGCCGAGCGAGACGCTGGGGCCGGCGTGGAGCGGGAGTGGGGTAACTGGGGAGCGGATGCACCCGGAGTGGGTCAAAGCCGTGAAGAGGCGGGGCCTCGTTCAAAAGAGGAGGAGCCATGTCTGGAGGGGGAGGGGCTATGCCTGGAGTGGGAGGAGCTATCCCCGGAGTGGGGCGGATCCATGCCCAGCATGAGAGGAGCACATCCAGGAAGAGCGGGGCCCCGTCTGGAACACGGCCGGGCTATTCCCAAGGGATGGGGCATGACCACGAGAGGGTATGGCCATTCCTGGGGTAGGCGGAGCATCTTCCACTGGGAGGGGCTAATCCAGCGGGGGCGTGGCCAGAGCCAAGGGCGGTGGTTGTGATGGAGGAGGAGGTGGCCGTGGCCAGTGCCGGGGCCACGGACGGCAGCCCCACGTACTTTTCCCGACGACTTGACGCCCTTGATGAGGCAGAGGAAGACGACGACCCAGGAGACGCCGAGGCAGCCCAGGAGGGGCAGCCGCACCTCGCCCAGGTTCCCGATGTCATCCGAGAGGTTGAGCACGTACTTCCTGCGCGGGACGGCGGGGCCAGCGCGGCGTGAGCGGGGGCCAGCGCGGGGCCGACGTGCGCCGCGACCCGCGCCCGCCTGCCCYGCTACCTCCAGTACTCCTCGCTGGGGCTCGTGCGCTTCTGCGTGGCGTTGAGGATGCGCGTGAGGTTGACGGCGGCGCTGCCGTTGCCGTTGCCGTCCAGGACGCCCGCGCAGTCCGGCGTGTTCCACGGGTTGCTGCAGTACGTCCAGGGCAGCACGCGCGTCATGGACACAAAGAAGTAGTAGAAGGCAATACAGATCACCACGTTGTAGTAGATCCCGATGTAGGTGGACACCACCATCATCCCGTAGCCCACGCCTGGGAACAGCACCGGGGAGGGTGAGCGGCGCGGCGCAGCGCGGGGCAGCAGCGCGGGGCAGCAGCGCGGGCCGCGGTACAAAAGGCTTTAATAAAGGTCCGAGGAGTCGCTCCTGAGAGGCGCGCGCGGCGCGGGCAGCCCTTGGGACGTTGTGCTGGGGCGGGGACTACAAAAGTGTAAAAACGGTTGTGCAGAGGGGGCAGGCGGCGCCCGCCGCCCCGGCAGCCCCCGCGCAAGGCACAGAGCGGCGGCGGCAGCTCCCGCGCGCACGCACGCCTGCACGCGCACACATGCATGCTTGCCCACACGCGCACATGCCTGCTTGCACACCCATGCACACACACGTACGCACATGCTTGCACACATACATGCATGCACACACGAATGCTTGCACACACGCACACACCCAGATGCATGCATGCTCGCACGCACACATGCTCACACACATGCTTGCACACTTGCTTGCACACGCACATGCACACGCGCCAGGGTGCCCGCTTGGCCCTCCTGCCCGGCAGCGGCAGGGGGAAATTCAGCACCAGAGAGGCTGGGGTGGCCGCAGGGCCCCCGGGGCAGGAGGATGAGGAGGGGCGGCCGCGCTTGCAGCGGCGCCCAACACTGCTCGGCAGAGGTAGCACCGCGGCAGGCCCCGCGGCGGCGGCGGGAGGGAGGAAGGGCCGCGGCGGCAGGAAGCGCTGCGAGCGCCGCCACGGGCCCTGTAAACAGGCGGTGCCGCCGGCACGGAGCGGGGCCAGCGCTGCGCCCTGCGCGCGGGCACACGCCGTGCGGCTGCTCGGCCAGCGGAGCACGGGGCTGGCACAGGCACGGGCGCTCGGCTGGGCTGCAGCACGGCGCGCAGGGAGCACGGCCGTGCCCCACAGCATGGTGCGCAGGACGCACGGCCGTGTCCCATGGCGTGGTGTACGGGGAACACGGCCTTGCCCCACAGCATGGTGCGCAGGGAGCATGGCCATGCCCCATGGCGTGGTGTATGGGGGGCATGGCCGTGCCCCACGACACAGCGGGCACGGGGCATGGCTGTGCCCCACAGCACGGCATGCAGGGGGCACGGCCATGTCCCATGGCACAGTGCACATATGCAGCATGGCCATGCCCCATGGCACAATGTGCAGGGGACAGGGCCATGACCCACAGCACGGCATGCAGGGGACATGGCCATGCCCCATGCCTCAGTACACGGGGGCACGGCCATGCCCATGGCTCAGCTGCACCGTGCCCCACGGCACGGACCCGATGCAGCTCAGCCAGGCCATTGGGCTCAGCCGTGCCCCACGTGCCCGCCGCGGTGCGGCCGCGGGGCTCAGGACACGTGGGGCGAGGGGCGCCAGAAGCACCACTTGCTGCGGGTGTGCTGCTTGCGCTGCAGCTGCTCCTCGCGCTCGCGCTCCTTCTTGGAGCGCAGGTACAGGTCCTCCTCCTTGAGGTACCACACGGGCGGCCAGCGGTGCCGCTCGAAGTGCGCGCGGTTCTCTGCGGGACGGCGGCGTGAGCGCCCGCGCGCCCCGACGCCCGCGGCGCCCCGGCCCCGCTGCGCCCTACCTGCCGACATGAACTTCATCTCGCGCGGGAAGCGGCGGCACACGCTGTTGTAGTTGGTGCAGATGTAGTGCAGGCACCAGGCGGCCAACTGCCGTGCGTTGTGGAACTGCGGGGACGCACCGTGAGCGCGGCGGCAGCCCAACTTGTCCCGCTGCATCCCGCACCGCCTGCTGCATCCCACTGCATCCTGCCCCATCCTGCTCCACCTGCTGCGTCCCGCTGCATCCTGTACCACCTGCTTTGTCCTACTGCATCCTACTCCATCTCAATGCATCCTGCTGCATCCCGCACCACTTGCTGCATCCCACCCTGCCTGCGGCATCCCACCACATCCCACTCCATCCCATTGCATCCCACTGCACCTGCAGCATCCCACTGCATCCCATTGCATCCCACGGTGCCCTTGGCACCGCGGGGCACGCCGCAGCCGTACCTGCGTCATCTCCAGGTAGATGAGCACCTGCTCGTCGATCTCCACCTGCTGCACGAAGGCGCGGAGCAGCTCGTCCACGGCGTACTGCTCTGCGGGGGCAGCGGGCCGTGAGCGGCGGCGCGGCGGCAGCCCAGGCGCCGGCCCCGCGGGCGCTCACCGGTGAGCGCCTGCAGCCGCGGCAGGCACAGCCGGTTGGCCAGGACCAGCAGCTCCATGGCGTCCAGGTCGGGCGCCGGCGTGAAGGCGCCGGTGTAGAGGAAGTCGAGCACGGCGCGCAGGCAGGCGCAGTTGGTGCCGGGCAGCGAGACCTGCGCATCCCGCAGGGACACCCTGCAGCCGGCAGCGTCCCGCGGCAGCACCCCGAGCCCCGCGGCAGCACCCTGAGCCCCACGGCGTGAGGATGCAGGGCTGCAGCAGGCAGGGCCGGGCGCCGCGGCACGCGGTGCGGCAGCCTCACCTCGGCGGCGTAGCTCTCGCGGAAGGCGCCCCGGAACATGGCCATCATCCAGTCGCAGCCCGCCACCAGCAGCGGCTTGTGCGCCGGCACGGCGCCGTCGTCCACGCGGAACACCACGTCTGGGGGCACGAGCCGGCCTCAGCGCCACCGCCCTGGCAGCCCCGGCAGCCCCGCGCACTGCGGCCGCTGCCCACCTGCGAAGACGCCCTTGCCCAGGCACTCCTTGATGCGGTTGGCCCGGCGCACGTGGAAGGCCTTGGTGATCTCCTGGTTCATGAAGCTCTCCTTGTTGAGCACGTTGGCCACCATCATGCGCAGGTCGAAGACCTCGAGCAGCTCGGCGATGGTGGCCACCTGCATGAGGTCGCCGCGCGCCTGGTCCAGCCGGCCCGTGTAGAGGTACTCGAGCACGGCGCGGAAGGGCTCGGCGGGCACCAGGCGGTCCATGCGCACCACGGCCATGCGCCGCTCGCGCCCGGCCACCGGGTCGGCCACGGGCTCCCAGCGCATGCTCACGAAGCCGCGGCCCCAGGCGGAGAGGTCGTGGGCACCGTCGGCGCCCGCCGCCGGCCGCAGCGCGTCGTCGCTCTGCGAGGCG